GGTTGGGGCCGGGTGTCCCCGCCGCGCTCCCGCCGCCGCCCGCCCCGGCCCCGCCGCGCTGCTGGTGGCGGGGGATGCCACAATCAGGAAATAAAAGAGCTTCATTGGAATAAAACGCAGCATCCAGATCTGTTTTTTTGGGTTTGTTTGGGTTTTTTTGTTTGCTTTGTTTTTTTCTCCTTAATTATATCCATCAGCTGGCTCTTCGTTTGGGAAACACTGGAGCCACTGCCATTTCCCCTGAGTTTTAATTCATTGACATTTAATTCATTACACGCTACGAGAGCGTGATGATTTTTTGCCAGCAGTAAAAACAAAGGAAGGGAAAACAGAAAACCAGGATGTTTGAGCACTCTGGTGGGATGTGAGACCTTAAAGAGCCTCTGCTGTCTTCCCCCCCTCCCCGGCCTCCCTCTTTTTTTTTGGTACAGTAATAGCGTTGCATAGTGCAAAGATGAGACACCATGTGTGCAGTATATCTACTACCTTGTATGCTCCTGGGTGTGTGGGATTGTGCTTCTTAATAATAATAATTAAAAAAAAAAAAGGTTAAAAATGAAATTGTAACTTTCTACAGACGCATTTGAATATTTAGCCCTCTGTACGAAAAACAGCAGAATGCTTCTCTCCTGATTGTATTGTTTTAAACTTTTTTTTTTATATTACAAATGCCTGTATTTAGGTTCATAAACATTATCTATGGCTACCATACCCTGAAATGCAAAATTATTGGAATTTGGTATGCATTTATTTCTGTTCATTATCACAAGATCATCTATATTTATAGAGGAATAGAAATTTATATATATTAAATACCATATTTTTAATTTCTCTGAAATAAATTGAGGTTTTGTACAAAACTATCTTGTCCCTTTATGTATTCCTCTGACTAACTCCAATACTGTGTGAAAGCAGTGTATATACTAGAAGATGTGTGGGATTCCTTTTTTCTTTTCTTATGTTGAGTTCACAGTAACAAGCTGGAATTCAGTGTAGGAATCATTGTGCATTTTGTTTTTTATCTCTGGGTCTGTCTAGATTAATCCTTCAAAAGAAGTAATGTAAACTGTTCAAGATCTCTGACAGGGTATGGTCGGTGGTGTGAAATCCAAGAAGAGATCTGCTATATGGCAGGAGAAGAAAGCAGCTCACTAGTTCTTTTTTTTTTTTTTTTCATGTTAAAGAAAAGGGTTCTCTCGACTTAGCCTTTCTTCTCCCCTCCCTATTAAAATAAAAGATTTTCTCAGTGCTCCAAATGACACTCAGACTATGTTGCAATATTGTCAGAATATTTTCATGAGTAAAATAGTTTTGTTTTCCTGAATTTGGAATGTTTGGTTAATCCAGAGTTAAAAGATATATTCACGGAAGCATTTCAGCTTTATGGAAAGTACACACATTCCTAAACCTTTCAACACAACACATCCTTTTTTTTTCTTTTTTTTTTTTTCTAATTCATTATTTGAAGTGCCATTCTGTAAGCATGTGTTTGTTAGGAGAGACTGGCTAATTATGAGACTTGATTCCTGATTTCCGGTGTTATAAGGTAGTACAGCGTTTCGTTCTGTAGATGTGGAGGAAGATGTAAATGATTTTTGGCTCGTTTACTTTTTTCGAATCATGATGTGTAAACAGCCATAGAAAAGTAAGAGAAGCTTAAAAAAATGCCCTAGTGAAGTGAGACAAAAGGGCAGTTTTGGGTTTTTTTGTTATTTTTTAATTTGTTTTACATAAGCATAGTTCCTGCTTTCTCAGATAATTTGCACATTTTATTCAAGTCTTTTTTGGGGTTTTGGTTTTTGATATTTTAGCGTTTAAAATTGTACTGGTCAGCACTCAGCTAATGACCTGAAGTACAAGCCATTCCATTTCAGTTGCAGCGGAATTCTTTTTGGTCAGTGTATAATTACATTTGAGCCACTTTGACTGATCTGTTTTCTTGCAACTGAATGTATGTGATTTATTTATGCATGGGAGAACACATTTATTTGTAACAGAGACCTTGTATTTGTGGGAGCAATGGGAGGACCAATTTTAAAAAAATACTTTTCAAAGATGACTAATGGAATTGTCGTTTCTACACAAAGTAAAATGTTGTTAATATTTGCAGTTCATGATTTGCAGCTCATGATTTGCAGCAGATATGGATCCTCTTCAGTTCTTTAGGATTTTTTCACAGATTGCAGAGCTGAAGCTTGATGTTGAATCTTGGTTATTTTAACAAATATACTCGAGAGCACAATATGATAGTTTAAAAATAATTTAAAAGGGCAAAGCCCTGCTTTTTTGTTTGCTTTTTTTTAAATGAACTTTCACAGAGTGGTAATTTGCAAAGGTCACAGTCACTACTGAATGCTGTGGTGTTATCTGTATGACTTTCCTACCTTTTCATACTTTTATTTCTCAACACATAATGGTATTTGAGACTTTTTATTAATATGATACAAAGGTGTCTTTTGCGTGGGTATATTGCACTCATCATTAATGTTTTACCTCACTGTTAAATCTATCCATTTGTTCCAGGGAATTTAGACTGGATTTTTTACAACACGGTCAGTATAATTGATGTATCATGTTTACCAAAGTATCACTGTATACAAAGAAGCAGTGTTGCCCAGTTCTCTTGCCCCTGACAAGAAGGATAGTATAAGAACAAAACTGTGGTATGACAAAGTTTGTTGGTCCAGAAGTACTTGTTAAGGCATTCCTTAGTCACCAGCTTTGCTTTCTCTCGGGGGATATATTTATAGCCCGAAATGAAGGGGCACTCAGAATCAGCATTCCCCTGAAGAGGGTTGTAGCCTGGAGAGCGGGGGATGCTGATTTACCGTTCATCCTTCAGTAACAGTAACGCTCTTTAATGTAGTGGCAAATTTGTGGTATTGGAATGAAATTATATGCTGTTTCCATAACAAATCCTGTTGGGAAGGGGAAGGATTTTTGATTCGTTCATGTTCAGTAATGCCCCAAATTTCTGGTGTATGCATATGCTTTTAGAAGTGTTGGGTTGTTGTTTTTTTAACTGAGTGGCATGGCTGCAATCTAGCGGCCCTGAATTCTGCCCTCTGGGTGATGCCCACCCTTCTGCTGCCATCTCAGTGCTTCTTGTTGAGCACGAGTACAATCACAGGTGGTGCTGAGGACTCTTTTCATTTAAGTGGACAGTATTTGCATATTTATTTTTTTTTTTTTAGTATTATTCAAAGGGATGATAACGAGGCATGAGAAGAGGCTGCTGTGTATGTACAGGATGAGTATTTTTCCAAATGGGCTATGGGCTAGTACCGCCATCAGTCTGTTGCCACTCCCAGTCACAGCAGACAGCTTCCAGACCAACACCGTCATCCTTTTTGGAAAGGTGTGCACACTGCAGCTAACCAGATAAAGCAATCCTGGGTTTGATGTGACATGTGTAGCTTAAAATTTTTGAGGGTACTCGTGCAAAAAGTTTGCATTTGTGAGACGTAACTCCTCCATCCCAGTGCTGCATGGCCTTGGAAGGAGCTTCAGCTGGCAAAACTTCTCATGGCAGCTGAAGAGGTGATGGGCAGGAGGTTAAGTGCTGACCTGCGAAAATAAGGAAACTGAGGTAAGGCTCTATTTTCGTCACGAACTGACCCTCTAGTGCTCAAACAGGGGAATTGCATTGTAGTTGATACTTAAAATGACAGCACTACAGGGCTGTGTGGCAATACTGTCCAAAACAAGTTCTGAATTTCAGCTTCCCCCCTGCCTTTTTAATTCTGTTGGACTTGTATTAGCTGTTGTTTGCAATTCAATTAAAACATTGATTTGAAAATGCAAGTCCTTTAGCTGCTTGGTCCCATTAGAAGTGAGGCTTGCACTGTGGTCCATAGC